TTTAATTGTAATTAATTAATTATTTTTACACCATGCATTTAGCCGAAGTAGATAAATTAATAAAAGTTTTTATACGGAATCGTTTGTATTTTGTATGAAGAGTTATGAAGTGTGATTAAAAAGGTTTGTGAGTCACCCAGATAATTTTAACTAAATATTTATAAACTCGGTAATTAGCCGAAATATAGATTTTTAGTTATTCATGTTAAAAGAAGAAGGCGCTAGTGTTCCCGAAGGTCTGCAATTATATGAACGTTTTAAAAATTATTTTATACTGAAATAAATAAATATACAGGCTAATAAGCCTGTAGCTATAAGCGATAGTTCGTTGCTAATTAAGTTTGTCACTCATATTTCCATCTTGCAGAGGACCTCCGTAACGAGATCAAAGATGTACACCAGCTGTGCAGGGTGAAGAGGTTATCTCAAACGCCCTTAATTGGGCCACAGTCCAATTAAGAACGACTCAAATGTCATTACCGCTGAGAAGTACTTCTTACCATTTGAGTCAGCATGTCAGAGCTAGTCACTACGGATTGTGGTGACACAGCACTGGACTGCCTGCAGAAGTTAATCGCATATAGCCATCTCACTGGCAATGTGCCTGATTCAACGGAGCCTAACAAGCTGCTGATTGTGCGCATTGTCGAGACAATTTGCGGTTGCTTCACCGGTCCACAGACCGATGAGAGTGTGCAGCTGCAGATTATTAAAGCTCTGCTGACTGTAATGACAAGCCAGCATGTGGAGGTATACGAGGATACGGTACTGTTAACAATTCGTACTGTTTACAACGTTTACTTGTCGTCGCGCAACCTGGTGAATCAAACAACAGCCTGTGCGACTCTCATGCAGATGATCAACGTGATCTTCGCGCGAATGGAGACTCAGGCGGAGGAAGAGAACGTGAGGCTTGATGGGGAACATCAGCAGGAGAGTTCTGTCATAGCAAACGGCACAACTGAAGCTGAGCTACGTCTTAGTTAGCTAAGTCTAACTAGCTCATCTTCATGAAACTTTACGTTGCGTGCGTCTATTTAATGACGATGGATGTAGAAAGCTCTTCAAATCACTTCGAGAGGATTATCAAAAGCGATCTCCTTATATCGCATATTTAATCAGATGTCGTCAGGGATTGCTGTCGACATTAGCTCACTTAGATAGGTACTGTTTATATATAAATATCATTTTTGTATGTAATGTATAAGTAAATGTAAGATGTTAACCGTTTAATAATAATATTTTTCAGATTATGCGTGCGAGTTAAGTGCGATCGGGATGCTATCAATAATCATCTTGTATCCATTTGTGTGAGGGTATTTTTGGAAAAAAAGAAAGCTTTCCTCCTGCGAAGAGTTTAAAAAGCTTACGCTAGCTGACGAGAAACAGGATCTCGTGGATAATTTTCTAGGGAAGGTCCACGTGGAAATGGACAACGATCCGATTTGGCAATGTACATGAATATAATTGTTTATCTCGCAATTGATCTTAGCGGAGTGCTCAGAGACGTCTGAACTTACTTCTTACTTTCAGCGGCAAGCGCCAACCAGTTAGATTTGGCGAGAGTCGTGGTGGAAAGAACCGTCATGGCACGGGTATACCACAATGCGCTCTATCTAAATCTAAATGAAGATGGAGATGTATATAGGGACCAGCTTTTTCACGGTCATATCAATAAGTTGGCAAAGGTCGTAACTTCAAATCACAGGGACCTACGCATTTCAAAAGTTTATCATTACGAATGCCCCTGGTCATGGGCGCAGGCTGAATTGGCTGTGATATCGGCGTATAAGACTCCTAGGGATAAGTTGCAGTGTGTATTGTTGCGCGACTACCATCATGAATCTCTTTTCCATGGCGTCGGAAAGAGGCATACCTGCTGCCGACAATCTGACTCCCGTGCTGGTCTACAGGTATGTCATAATCAAGGTATGCGATTGAAAAGAGAATTGTGATTTTAGCAAGAAGAGTGATTGTTAACGTGTGCTTAATTTCAGACTAATCCGCCGTCGTTGTATCGACTGTTCAATATGTAGACAGCTTTTACGGGAATCGATTGGAGGGAGAAGAACAATATTGGTGGACGCAGTTCTGCGCCGCGATCGAGTTAAGACAATGGATTAACAGTTTCTCAAGAGTATCACGATAAATAAGATTAGATTCGATGCTGGTGATAATGTAGAAATGTATCATAATCATAATTTGACGATTTCATAAAGAAGAAGACCAATATCTTGTGTAAAGCTAGCTGAACAGTTTTATGCTTCCAGTATCAATTAAAATTCTTAAGTAGCCTCTTAAATAGTCTAACTGTTAGTTCTTTCGCACGTTATTATGTAACATTAGCAAAGACTGAATCAGATTATACGTAAAGTGTGGCTTTATCTTTATTTGTAACTCTATTGTACAATGTCACAGGACATCGAAAAAAAAAGAAACGTTTAGATATTCTATAATTTATGTGCAATACAGAACTTATAGAGAATTGATAACCATTTAGCAGGATAAACTGTGTTAGCGTACTCTTTCTACA